GGAAGAAGTTTTTAGGAGATTAAGAGAAGCTAACCTTACGATTAGTCTAAAAAAATGTCGGTTTTGTCGGCCCAGTATGTGATATTTAGGTTATGTGGTGGATCGAAAAGGCCTTCATGTCGACTTTGAAAGGGTGGAAGCTATGTTGAAGATACCTTTCCCGAAAACTGTCAAGGAGGTGAGACGAGTGATTGGGACGTTTTCTTGGTACCGGGGGGTTTGCATCAGATTTTGCAACAATTATATCACCGTTGACCGCCCTTTTGAAGAAATCCTGTAAATTCGAATGGAACCCAGCTTGCGATGAAGCATTCAAGAGGATTAAGGAGTGCTTGATTTTTGCACCCGTGTTGTGCTGCCCTAATTATGATTGCCCTTCGTAGTCGAGACGAATGCTTCAGCCTATGGCATTGGTGCTGTTCTTTTTCAACTACACCCCGACGGTGAGAGAGTAATAAGTTACCTTAGCCGATCCTTCAGCAAGCAGGAAATAAACTTTACAACCACAGAAAGAGAATGTCTTGCAGTTCTTTGGGCTGTGGAGTAGGTTTGACACTGATCATCACTCTCTAGTTTGGCTTCAAAACCTGAAGGACCCGACTGGAAGGTTAACGCGTTGGAGTTTAAAACTCTGTAATGACGACTGTAAAATAGTACATCGTAAAGGTAAATACCTAGTGGAACGAGATATGTTAAGTAGAAGTGTTACCGATGAGATCTCTGTTAGTCCAGAAACTTTGGATAAATGGTATTTAGGTATGTTAAAAAAGGTCCAAATAAAGCCAGCTCAATTTGCTAACTGGAGGCTAGAGAATGAACGTCTTTTTAAACACGTTAAGTCACCGTACGTTAGTTTACATGACCCTCGAGACCTATGGAAGGAAGCAGTTCCTAAGGAATCTAGGAAGGTCATTGCCAGGTTCCATAACCCGCCAACATCTAGACACATGGGAGTAACTAAGACTTATGCTCGCCTTGCCGAACGTTTCTTTTGGCCTGAGATGAAGTATGATGTGGCTCAGTTTATTAGAAACTGTACTGAGTGTGCAACTCGGAAGTCTGATCAACGAGAACCAGTTGGCCAGATGGTTCAACAATCAAGAGTATGTAGGCCGTGGGAAATGATATCCACCGATTTGATGGGTCCGTTACCTCACTCCATAAAAGAACGTTAATACATATTAGTAGTTACGGACCATTTTTCTGTACTCGCTTCTATTTCCACTGAGAACGCCAAATGTCTGTAGGACAATATAGGAAATGATTTTTCTTATTTATGGTGTTCCCCGTATTATTATATGCGATAACGGGCCACAATATTGCTCTCGTTAATTTCAATCTTTGGCAGGAAGACACAGGAGTAAAATTCAATACAATTCTAACTACCATCCTCAGGCAAATCCGACCGAACGGTTCAATCGTACCATAAAGACCATGCTATCTAGTTATATCACAGAAAACCATAGAATTTGGGACGTTAACCCTGCTAAAATAGGTTGTGCTATAAGGACAACAAAACACGACTGTACCGGTCAGACCCCTTATTTTGTCAACTTCGGAAGAAGGATGACGCTCAGTGGGGATGAATTCAGCGACAGGAAGGTTTTAGAAAACTCTTCGATGATGTTAGGAAACGACTAGATTTAGCAGCCAAGAAGGCTGAGAAAATTTACAACCTTAGGAGGGGGTCAGACGAATTTTTTCCCCAACAAGCAGTGTGGAGACGCAATTTTGTCCTGTCAGACGTAGCGAAATATTTTTCGAAGAAATTTGCTCCCCAATACATTGGTCTTTTCCATGTGAAAAAGAGATTGTCACCGTGGACATATTGTACTGTCATTAACCCCTACTTGCAACTTTGCAATAATGCAGTACGCGACGGGTCAAAGATTCTAGATCCGGTCATCTGAGCAATGACAATACATTTTTCATACTCAGCAAATGTTACATTTATTGTAGTTATATAAAATTAAATTAGTCTTAACTCGAACTGTCTTTTAATTGACATTACTCGAACCTCTACCCCAAAAGACAATACTACAATATGAGCTCGAGGATAAGGAAAGCAAGCCAGCAGGCGCGAGGCGTATGGAATGCAAAAGACCTTAAGATAGTCGCTAGGGCACAAAAAAATTTACTGCGATAAAGGAGAGATTGTGATGTATCAGAATAAATAAATAATAATTTGTATTAACCAACCTTTATTGTATAAATATTCTTAAAAAACCTAAGTAACTATTATTTTTAGCATTATTTTGGAAAGCAACATGTTAGTTTATAACTCCGTAGATACCTGTTACATAATTTGTGGTGATGTTTTATTATCTCTACTTCACGTTACATCCTTTCGGTCCTTGGTATCTGAAGAGAAAATGAATGAATTACTATTAGAGTAAACAAAGATTTTAAATTCTTCAGTTATGTTTTGTTCTCATTAAATATTATATTTAGGTATCTTAAATATGCATGCAACTAGAGTTTAATAATGTAGTGCTTACCTCAATTCAGTTAGCAATTTGTTTATTTGTGTCAGTTTGTCTTTGTTCATTCATAGGTTTTCGACTAATTTTGGCAGTAGCTATTTTATCGCCTAATTTATCGGACGTTTCACGTATCTTATGGTAGTTTTCTGTACTTATCTAGCATCCAAATTTCATGGACAGATGGTACTACAAGGCTTATTCTGAAAAATATTTTAAATATCGACAGGTTTAGCTTGACTTTTTCTAAGTTAAGTTTTGGATTAAGTTAAAAATCATTTTTAACGGGAGTAAAGAAATTTTGAGTTTCCTTGGATATCGAATATGATTCTCACGTAGATTTTCTAAGGGTTGTAAACATTGTGCGGGTACAATAAGTATTTATAGTGGGTTTGTTTACTCATCCTTCGTAGCAAAATGAGAATTCACCCCACATTGTTGTTTGGTGGTTCCTGTTTTGGCATTTTTTTGGATATTTTTGGAGTTGCGTTAGCAAGTTCCTGGAATCTCTTTTGCCGCTCCGGCGGGAGCATTTACGCCTTTCCACGCCACGTACATCATATTTCATCTAAAGACCGCTGTTATCAAACCACGAAATGGGAAAAGTCTATCAGAAGAAACCCTCTAGCTATTGTGAGGGTTTTATTGTGGAGTTAACGAAGTTTTGGTCTGGCAGTAAGCAATTTTGTTGGCGCAGTGGTCCCTACAGAAATCCTGCTGTATGATCTGCACTACCGCGTAGCAACTACTTACCTGCCTGCTTGTTTAGCTGCCTGTCTACTTACCTGGTTGCCCACTCGCCTGCTGCTTACTTGTCTACTTGCCCGCTGCTTGTCTACTTGCCCGTTTGACCGAGACTCTCACCTATCAATACAATTTTCAGCTAAGTTGCATGCTAAAAATTTCTTATCTCGGTTGGAATTTTCATTTTAGTGTATATATCTGTAGGTTACTGTTTAACAAAGGCACATAAATAGTTATATAGATAAATAATTTAGATGTAGATAGTTTCCTTACATTATTTGCTTAATTTAACTTAGTCATTTAATTTTAATTTGGCCAAGGCTTTAAATTCGTCTTTGCCTCTATAATTAGTTAATTTAAAGACATTTGCTTAACAAGGTAAATAAGTTATATACTGTAATTATTTGCTGGTATATTTTTGGATTCCGATTTAGGTTTCCTTTATTATATTTTATTATAATTTACTACTTACGCCCCAATCCGTATAGTATATTAATTTTTTTTATTTTCATAATTGCCAGTCGAACAAGGGCATATTTTTTTACATAGTTACTTTTTATTTATACAGGGTGTCCCAAAATTCATGCAACAAAATTTGGTCATAGATTCTTAAGACAAATTTAGGGGACCCGTATTTTTTCTTTTTGCCAACTGGCCCCCTCTTTCGGAGTTACAGCCCCCTGAAATCTGCCTCTAAGAAGTCTTTTTTATATCTCAAAACCATGTACGAGAATCACTAAATTTGGTATACAGGGGTTTTTATGACATGAGATCTCACAGTGCCACGCTTTTTGGCGAGAAACCCCCTTAAGACACTTTTTCGCGTGCTCCTTGTCTTTGGAACCACAAAAATTTGGTTGCAAATGTGATTTTTTTTTAAATTATTAGTTAGCTAGAAATCCATTGAATTTAGAAACTTTATTGTCTCTTGAAATTTTTTTCGTAAAACGCAATGTTTTTGAGGAAAATGGCAAATCACGATATTCATTCGATCACATTTTGACATTTTTCTCAAAAACATTGCATTTTACGAAAAAAGTATAAAGAGACAAAAAGTTTCTAAATTTAATGGCTTTCTAGTGGACTACTAATTTTTAAGAAATTTACATATGCGACCAAATTTTTTTAGCTCCAAAGACGAGAGCCCACGAACAATTATCTTAAGGGGATTTCCCGCCAAAAAACGTAGCACCATCAGATTCCACATGTCATAAAACTCCTGTGTACCAAATTTAGTGATTCTCGTACAACAGGGTTCTGAGATATAAGAAAAAGATTATTCTTAGGGACGGACTTCAGGGGGCTGTAACTCCGAAAGAGGGGGCCACTTGGCAAAAATAAAAAATACGGGTCCCCTAAATTTGTCTTAAGAATCTGTGACCAAATTTTGTTGCATGAATTTCGGGACACCCTGTATATGTAAAACAAATTATGTCTATGTTGTCTGGACTCTGATAGGAGCTGTCATTGTGCACTGCACGTATATACATGGTAAAACCCGCGCCAACTACTAAATAAATACTAGGATATATTTTACTACCTATATTCTATAGAAACTTAAGAGTTTCAAAGGTGTTTCTAATTTATTTACAAAAAATTATTAGTGTTCTTTAAATTTCATAACTGTATGCCAATTTAACCATTTTTCAGAGTTTCCGCTGTTATATCTAATTTGTATACAGTACACATTTTATGAATAATAATAATAATAATAATAATTAATAAAAAATATTTCTTATATGTATATTATTGATAATAGTAATCCATTTGTTTTAGTATGAAGAATGTTTATCACATGCCATAGGAAAAAAAGAGGCCAAGCCTGAATATTATTCTGCATATTTGACTTTATTATACAGAAAAAAGGAATATAATAAGCTTTTAATCCACGCAGAAAAGATGTATAACTTGTTTACTGCCGAAACAATATCGTTAATTTGGATTTGTAAAGTTTTTAATCGATGCTTTGTTGAAAATCCTGAAAAAGCTGAAAACATGTTTGAAAAACTAACTGAATATTATCCCAAATTGTTGCAAGTTGAACCACAAAATGCTATAGGTTTATTTTCAAAAAGCATAACATTGTTAAAAGAAGAAGAACTATTAAAAGCAAAAGATGCTGTTACTGAAGGTAAGAAACATTATTTGTTTACCAATTTTCTAATTTAAATTATACTGTGTGAATCATTTTTGTGATGCATGTATTAGAATCTCAGAAACTATTTCTTATGGTGTCTTATTGAATTGTTTGCTTAACGAAAAAAGCATTTTTTTGCTGTTCAATGATTTACTATAATAATTTAATAATGTGGAGTAGGTATGGCCCCATTGGGGACACCTCCCTCATTCCTACTACTTTGCACTTAAGCCACGCTCCTCCGCTTGTTCAATTAATCAGCTTTAGCAATTTTTTGGATTTTTAGTGTAACAATATCACTAAATTAAATGGAATACTAGACTTTGTCTTATCAAGAAACCGTTGCAATGTATTTCGTGATGATTCACCATTTGTTACTGAAGATTATCATCATCCAGCCATTATCTTCATTGTTAACATACAAGTTAAATATCTCCATAAATTTCCTGCAAAGTTTGATCATAAGTCCTACAAATTTAAGAACACTAATTTTCATGCACTCTATAACGCCATGATTGATTAGTCTTTTTTGGATGAGTTTAGAGATGTTAACTTAGCCTGCCAAACATTTTATACCAAACTCTATGAAATTTTCGACGCCCATGTACCTCGGTATATAACAAAAAAAAACACAACCATTCTGGTTCATCTCTGAACTAAAAAATAGCATAAAACTAAAAAAACGTCTCTATCGGCGATGCAAAAAAACATACAAGCATTAGTAACCTAAATAATCTTAAGAATTTTAAATCTAATTAAAAAATAGGGACTACAATAAATATTTATACTCCAGTCGAATTAGGGTTTGAACGTGAAAAAATTATTAATATACATTTTATTGCACTTTATGACGGGGAAGGGTATGTAGAATGATAAATCAAAAAAAGTAACTCGAAAGAAGTGACGCTAAGTTGGCAAATTGCAAATAAGTTGCAAAATTAAGTGTTTTCCACTTTTTTACTGTTCATGAAAATCTAGACCACATATCGGAAAATTAATTGTTTCATGTTGTAGGGAATTAACATACCTACAATTTTAAGGTACCTGAAGTCACTTTTTACCTATTTGTTAACTGTAAAATAAAGGTCGAATACGGAAAAATCTGTTTTCGAAAATTGCGCATTATTATTGCAAAAATCAATAGATGTTGACGAAATTTATGGAAAAGACGATCAAAAGACCAACATGTGTGCTAATGTCCAATTCGATTGACAGTGAAATAGTTGCTATGTTACCGATGAACGGTTAGCACAACATAAATAGTATGTTTTAAGTTCTTGTTGATATAAATTAATTTGCAAAGTATGAGGCCTCGAAATATTTTATGTTTTTATTTTCTGCTCATACAAAGCACTATCCTGTTTGTCAATACATTTCCCCAGCTACCAGACCCTAGCTGATCTGATCCAAACAACTAAATATTATATACAAATATAGGTAATAAGATACAACCACAGGTAGCAAGACAATCACTACAGCTACTCCCACTTCAAAAAAAAAACATCAGTTTAAAACGAATGTAACCTTTTTCTTTTGATAATTGCTACATGACGTGTTTTCTAAATTTTCTGCCAACATAAATGCAGGTCTGACTATCTAAGCTGACCACTATTTCTTTATTATCTTTGAAGATAACTAATGTTTTGTCGTTTCTCTTAATAATCTTGTAAGGACCTTCGTACTTAGGTAATAAACAAGATTTAAGTTTTTCAGACCTTAAAAATATGTATTTACAGGTTAACAAGTCTGCGGAAATAAAAGGTTTATTATTTGAATGATTACTAGTCGTAGTAGGTTTAATATTAGCGAAAGCTTCTCGTAAACCAGTGAGTACAGGATAAGTGTCAATGCTTTGCTGTGAATTGATAAAGAATTCACCTGGTAGTCTTAAAGGTTGACCGTAAACTAGTTCTGCTGAAGAGCAGTCTAAATTAGTTTTAATAGATTCCTAAAAGAACTATAGGTCGTTCTTTGACCCAATTATTGGTTTCGCATTTTGCTATCAGAGCAGCTTTAAGTGTTCTATGGAATCTTTCTACTAGTCCATTACTTTGCGGATGGTAAGTAGTAGTATGAATCCGATGAGAACCTAAATATCTTGTAAATTCTTGAAAAAGTTTTGACTCAAAAACTGATCCTTGATCTGTTGTTATAGTATTGGGTATACCAAAATGACAAAAATATGCATTAAACAATTTTTTTACTATAGTTTCTGTATTAACATTAGACAGAGGATAAGCTTCAGGCTATCTAGTGAATCTTTCAACCACTGTCAAAACGTAACGATAAATTTGTGATGTTGTTAATGGGCCTACAATATCAATATGAATGTGTTCAAAATGATCCTTCGGTATATTAATAGAGCTAATTGGAGATTTAGTATGTCTTGTAATTTTAGCTTTATGACAATCTATGCAAGTTTTTGTCCATAGAGTGATCTCTACATTCATTTTTGGCCAAAAATATCTTGAATTTATTAATTTCTTTGTTGCGCGTATTCCCGGATGAGAAATTTTATGAAGTTCATTAAATATTTTAAATCGAAAGTTTTTGGGAACATAAATTCTGGGTGAACAAGAAACTTCGCACCACACTCTTTCTTCAGAGAAAGGTATATTTTATTGTTTCAACAAATATTTACAATTTTTGTTACTCTGATTTTTTAATAAAAAGGTAAGATCTGGATCATCCTGTTGATCTTGTCTTAGTAGTTCTAAATCGATAGTTTTGTACTTAGCTCCTCTTCATCTGTACGTGATAAACAATCAGCTACTACGTTAGTTTTACCTGGTATGTGTCTAATATCTGAAGTAAATTGTACAATGAACTCAAGATGTCTTATTTGTCGTGGGCTTTTTTGTGATTTTGAACTTAATGTATTTGTTAATGGTTTGTGGTCTATGTAAATGGTAAGTTCGTGATCTTCCACAGCATATCTAAAATGTTTAATGGCTAGAAAAACTGCTAAGAGTTCGCGATCAAAAGTTGAATATCGAGTTTGTGTGGTCGTTAATTTTTTTGAGAAATAACTGATTGGTATCCACTTTCCATCATTTAATTGTTCTAACACTGCACCTACACCCGTATTCGATGCGTCTACAGTTAAAGACAACTTCCCATTGCTGATTGGATGTGATAAAATAGTTGCATTTGCTAAGTGTTTTTGCAGCTTGAAAACTAGTCTCACATTCTTCTGCCCAATCATTTATGGATTTTTGTCTATTATTTTGTAATGTAGTGGATAATTTATGTAATGGTATAAGAATTTGAGCAAAGTTTGGTTTGAATCTGTGATAAAAGTTTACCATTCCGATGAATCTTTGTAATTCTTTAAGTTTTTTTGGACGGGGAAAATCGAATTTTCTCTACTTTTGACTCTGATGGCAAGATGCTTTTTTCAGAAATGATATGGCCTAAAAATTCTAACTGTGACATTCCAAATTGACATTTTGTTGAATTGATATTAATTCCATAAGAACCTAATCTTTCAAAAAACTTTGTTAGATGTTCAATATGTGCAGTTTCATCTGAGCTTGTTACTAAAATGTCGTCTATGTACACGAAAACAAAATTTAAACCTGATACTACCTCATTAATAAATCTTTGAAATGTCTGTGCTGCATTTCGTAGTCCGAAAGGCAGTCTAAGAAATTCGTAGAGACCGAAAGGAGTTGTTATCGCTGTTTTGTAAATATCTTCTTCCACGACTGGTATCTGGTGATAAGCTCTAACAAGATCAATTTTTGAAAATATTTTACAACCATAACTATGTAGATTAAAATCATGAATATGTGGCAATGGATATCTATCTGGAGTCGTAATTACGTTAAGTTGTTTATAGTCGCCACAAGGTCGCCAATCGTTTGGATCTTTTTTAAGCACCATATATCGTGAACATGCCTCTCTGAAGTGTGGTTGTGTTGTATAGCTCTCCTCAAATTTATAAATTTAAGTGTGTTCCTGACTTAATCAATCAGTTCAAAAGTAGTATTCTGGTGGTTTATAACAGTCAATTATGGGACCCAAAAAAGAAGGTGGTGAAAGTTTAAATAAATCTATTGTTGAAACAATTGAAAAATGTTTAATTGAAAACTCTGTGCTAATAAAAAGGATAGCAGATCTGGTAGTACAGGAAATTAAAGAACAGATAGAGATTACTCTAAAAAATTTTCAAGATAAGCTAGATTCCATCGCAAGTGAAANTCTATACCAAACTTCTCACATATAGAAATCTAAGGGTGTAAGATCAGGAGAACGTGCTGGCCATTCTAGCAATCCTCTCTTCCCTATCCACCGATTTGGAAATGTTAAGTCTAGGTATTGCCGGACATTGATTCGGTAATGTGGTGGTGCTCCATCCTGATGGAACCACATCACATCGACTGGAACTCGTGGGTTTGCACGAACAGGATATAAGTCTGACAAAGTTGCCTCGACATTATTTTGGAGCACAAGTAAATAATTATCTTCATTCAAATTGCCATTAATGAAAAAGAGGCCAATGACATGGTCTCCAATTATCCCTTTCTCACCTCTTCAGAATTTAGTATATGTAATTATCTCACCCAATGCGGATTTTCATTAGACCAGTAGCTAAAGTTTTGACGATTATCGTGAACGGATATCGTGAACATGCCTCTCTGAAGTGTGGTTGTGTTGTATAGCTCTCCTCAAATTTATAAATTTAAGTGTGTTCCTGACTTAATCAATCAGTTCAAAAGTAGTATTCTGGTGGTTTATAACAGTCAATTATGGGACCCAAAAAAGAAGGTGGTGAAAGTTTAAATAAATCTATTGTTGAAACAATTGAAAAATGTTTAATTGAAAACTCTGTGCTAATAAAAAGGATAGCAGATCTGGTAGTACAGGAAATTAAAGAACAGATAGAGATTACTCTAAAAAATTTTCAAGATAAGCTAGATTCCATCGCAAGTGAAAACAAAAAACTGCAGGAAGATATAATTTTTTTGAAACAGGCCGCCAAAAGAAATAAT